TACTTTTTGAATTAAAGTAGAAAAACGCAGCTTTGCTTAATTACACTTTTCTTTTGTTAAAAATCTACCGTGACATCAAATGCTAAAACTTTTATAAATTAAACGCTCTTCAAAGGAATCCCTAAAGTCTGTAGATTGCGACGTATAATTTAAAGACTCCGAGTTATTGAAAAAATGGAGAAGGCGAGCTTCAGCTAAAACAACAACATTAGTTTTTCTTGGTATGCATTCATTATTTATTTTTAATCAAAAAAACTTGGTTCAAACCTTTTTTTTTAACATTATCTTTAATATGAACACAACAAGTGTTGGGAGTTTGGGATCCCTTTAAAACTTCAGCGAGTAGTAAACCTTTGTTGTCAGAAAAAAAAACTGAGAAATACTTTTTCACTAGTAATTTTAAGTAAGTTTCTTTTTTTTACAAAATTATTGATATAGGTTTGTGTTATTAAAATGTGTTAATAACACTTGTTATTTTCAACTTTAATGTAAATATTTTAAATGTTTACAAGAAATTTTATTTCTAGTAAAATAAAAGCTGGTATAAAAGCCTTATAGGTTTAAATGATAGATAATTTTGGTGATAAAGTAAATTTGCTTATTGAACAATATATTATAATAGTTGTGCTAAAATTTAAAATCAATCAGGTTAAACCCAAGCATTATATGGTTAAATATGAGAAAAATATTTGTATATAACTATATATAAATATAAAAGTAAGCTAGGCAAGACTAACTTATTTTAAGCATATATAATTTCAATGAACTGTCTGTCAAGTGATAAAATTAACTGTTATATCGAAAATAAAAAAAAACTTAATTTTTAAGAGTCAAGTTAAGTTAGTTAAAAGTAAATTTTTTCATAGTAATGATTTATTGTTAATTGTTTCTGTATTTCCAATATCTAAACAAATGTAACTTATAAAACTATCGTTGTCAAAATAAATATTCACATTAGGGAGCGGCAACGTATTGTTTATCATCGTTAAATGCGTTGATGCATCGTGTTCAATACATCATGTTCAATGCATCGAAACACACATCGTTAAATAATGCATCAAATAACCATCATCGTTAAACAACCTATCGGAATACTGGATTGTTAAACAATGCATCGAAAGAATTTAAATAAAGTCATTAAAAACTTAAATGTTTAAAATGAGCAATATTTATATGTGACTTTTTAATCAGTATCTTGTTAATGTGTCTTATTAATAAGGCATTTAAGTTAACAAATTATGATTAATATTAAATTCGTACTATAAATTATGTTAAAAAACCTATTTAATTCAATGATTATGATTAATACATTACACATTATACAATCTATTTACTTTTTCTCATGTGAAATGTAAAGGCAACATAATCATAAAAGAAAAACTACTAATATAATTAATTTTATATCGCACTGTTGTACAAAATGGCCGACAACTACTTTGAGCTGACCCAAGAAAATCACTTTGACTGGGTGGAAGGACATTGTTTCCTGACTCCAAAAATGTAAAATTTGAAATCCAACTATTTCATCCGAGAAAATAAGTTTGATTTTAAGTTTTAACCATTTTGCACAATATGGCGAAATGACAGCTTTTTAAATTTTACATTTTTACAGCATTCAAAAACATTTTAATACTAATATTTATTACTCCAAACATACACATATACATAACAAAGACAAATATGGTTATTTGGACTTAATTTAAAACTCTTATTTGATGATTCTAACTTTCTATGAAACATAAGTGTGCTTCCAAGGTGCTAAAATTACTTCATAAAAAAATTCTGGAAACTGACAGTGTACAGTAGACACCAGCTATTTTTATCTTTTTTTAGAAAAATCTATTGCTTCAAGTGGGAGAAACTTAAATGACCATAAAACTATTATGTGCAAAATTTGAAAGTTCCTGATCTTCTTGGTTATATCTTATTTTAATTTTAATTTTTTACATATTATTTACAATGAAACATAATTTTAGACGGGTCATAATTAATTTATTTTTAAAAGGAGTGTTGGTGTAAAACATTTTCATTTTTTTAACATTTAATGAAAAGCAAATAGTTTATTTTTTAATTTTTATAATGTTTTAGGCATGTTTGGGTCCTTTAAAAAAAGGATCATTTTACATAAAAGTCATATAATTAAATAAACTCAAAAAAGGTACACTCAAAAAAAGATATGATTCAGTTGAAAAGTTTTAATTTTGTTTACATTTAGTAATTTTTAATGACGCATTTCTTTATAATTCTACAAAAAATGGCATTTTTAAAGCGGTTTATTTATGTTGAATTTATTTTTAAAATAAGATTGTTTCTAGTTAACTTTAGAATTTTTTATTTTTGAGTTAAATCTTATGGTTTTATAAATTATCTACTCCAGCTTTAAACAAACTAATACAAAAAATTGCTGGTATCTAATGTACAGTTTGAAAGCAGTTGTTTACATGTCATGTGTGTACAAGAACTTCCAAAATGCCTAAATTTGCAAAAAAACATGAAGATTTTCGGAAATCTGTTTGTGTTATGTGCATGAAGAAGTGCTCACGTGAGGTGACTCAATTACTTGCTGGAAAAATCTTCAATCACTACCATACAAATCTTGATTTTAGCGATACCAAAGTGCTAAGAGGTATCTGCAACTCTTGTCGAACAACTCTTAAGAGAAAAGATGAAGGAAAAGATGTTGCTCTTCCACCTTTGTTTGACTTCTCTTCAGTAAAAGTCAAGCAAACAACAAGGTATCAAGATTGCAACTGTCCCATTTCCCAAGTTGGTCATCTAAAGCTGAATGAGAACAACCATTTAAGGTGCTCCAAACCTGAGGAAGACAATACTCCCCAACGATGCATCAAACACGATTGCATTCAATGCATCAAACACGATTGATCGACTCATTATTAAACGATACATAGTCGCTTCCTAATTCACATACTCTTTAGATTATTTTGCTTAAATTAATTTTTTTTTATTTTTTATTTACGTTTTATTAAAACAATAGACAAGTTTTTCTTCTGTAGCTGAATATTTTAATTACTTTGATATATTGATAAAAAAAGTTAGTTTTATAAAAATTCAAACTTTGATTTTTTTACTTTATCTGGATTTTTATATAATGAGCATATTTTATGTATTTGCAATTAAATTTTGTCACAACAGTGTGTGGTTTTTAAAATGTTAACACCATCATAAAATATCATTAAAATGTTAACACCATCATAAAATATCATTAAAATGTTAACACCGTCATTAAATATCATTAAAATGTTAACACCATCATTAAATATCATTAAAATAAAAATTGACTGCTTAATTAGAATAATGCTTAAAAATTATCTATAAATATTATTAAAAAAAATTTTTTTTAGCGTAATTTAATTTTTTTGTAACATAAATGGCATAGCAAAATGTAAAAATGCTCTTTGTGTATTTAAAATTCTCTTTCCTGATGCTTTGTAACAAGGCCTGGTATCATTAGTGTTGTCAAAAGAATTCTTTTTGATGTGACAAATAATTTTTCAGTAAAACAATATGTTTTGATTGGGACTTGTGTTCTGTTTCTAAATAACTCCTTTTATTAAGTTGTTTGATTATTCAATATAAAATTAACTTGTTAATGATGTACTTTGTGGCCATTTCTTTTTGTTTGACTCCTTTCTTATAATCTTTGATAATATGTTCTTGAAAAGCTAAATTATACTTGCTTCTTGCCATTACAAAGGACCAATACCCCAAAAAATCGATTGGGAGAAAAAAATCTTTAGTATTATAAAGTTCTCTTACCAAAACAGCACAAAATTATGATCTCAAGTCAATATCTTTATAATACGCCTCTGACCGCAAAAATAGACACAATTGTTTTTTAGTAGTTATAAAAAGTTGCTAATGTTTTGGAAGATCTTATTTTTACATTAAAATATCATGCATGCAAAACAACAAATTTATTCTTTTCAGTTGTATTATGTACAAATCTTTTCTTTAACATAAAAACTTAAAAGTATTTTTACCAATATGATTCTATTAAAAGAGTTTTTTATTCAAAAAAATGCTTTATTTAGTAATTGAAGTTAAAAAAAATAGAATTTTTTATTTGGTTGCTTATGTTTTGGAGAAATTGTGTACAAATAATAAAATATTTGCAACACTTGTTAATGTTCTGATTTTTCTGATTGTATATAGTCAAGCCTTTTCAGGCTTCTCGTACATCATACATCATTATATATTAATTTGAAAGAATAGTCGAATTAATATATAATAATGTATAAGTATATAACAAAAAACAATTTTAATTAAATAATATTTTTATCTGTTATTTTTAAGTGCATACAAATAAAAATGATATTAAAGTATGATAATACTGGTTTTATCAGTTAAAGGATTTTTCTCTGTTTCATTCCTCTGCATTGTAGGCATTAATAAATTATTTTTACTTTCAAAAAAAATAAAAACAAAATAAATAAGCGTTTTATCAATCCTAAAAAAAAAATCTTGAGGAACAGATTGATTTTAAAAAAATTAAGCCCATTAAGTTATTCTGATTTGTGATATGGTTCAAAATAAAAGTATGTGTGTGGTATTTTCTTTTTTTTTTTTCAAATCTTGACATATAGTTTTGAAGCAAATTTTTCAAACTAAAGCCTTACCAAGCAAAAACATGTTTTATACAATTTAAAACTAAGTATTTTTATTGTGACACCATCACTTGAAAGATTATTGAAAAAATCCATGCAGAGATAGTAATGATGATGATGATGATGGTAATAATGATGATGATAATAATAATGGTGGTGATGATGATGATGATGATGATGATGATGATGATAATGATGATGATGATGATGATGATGATGATGATGATGATGATGATGATGATGATGACGATGATGATGATGATGATGATGATGATGATGATGATGATGATGATGATGATGATGATGATGATGATGATGATGATGATGATGATGATGATGATGATATGCATTGATGGTGAAAAACAATATTTTTAGATCCGAATATCATTCACATGGTATGATGCCTTTAATAAAGGTTCTATTTTTGGATCAACAAAATGCTGTAAGTTTTATTTGGTTTTGAGTCAGAAATCTGACTAATTTTGAAACTATAATATTTTGTGTAATTAATCGATCAGGTTTGTATAATAAAAATAAACATGATATCTAATATCATATCTATTGAGACAAACAAGCAATCCAAAAATTTTATTGTGTTAGAGTTTCATTTGTGCATTAGCCTTTCTTCTATAGTTATTCTAGTGGTAGTAAACAAGTCAGCATATTAAGGTGGAAAGCTTAATGCACAATGTAGCTTTTGTTTTCCCCTTTCTCCAATAACACAATTGGATCGGTTTTCACTCAAAATAAATCTCACTATTCTGGATATCTAATTTTTTAGATTTTCACTCAAGGACTCTACAATCTATTAGAATCATTTCTTCTATGTCTACTTGACTGGATGTAAAAAAGTGTTGTAAAATTATTATTTTCTTATTTATAAAAGTGTTACTTGGTTTCATTATATCAAAGTTGTTTTCTACAAAAAGTTATAGCTTTAAAAAAAATACATTTTTGCTAATTAATGTTTTAAAAGGAACAAGAAATCATTTAATTTATAATTATTTATATCCCATTTTTATACATACAGTGAAATAATACTCTATAATGGTTTTAATGAAATAATATTCTAAAAGTTTTAATCGTATGGCCTTTTGAGGAAGAAAACAAACCTAAAACAAATATTAAGTCATAAAGTTGCATTTTTTTATTAGAGATGCCTGATTTTTCAGAACACTGAATCTGATTCTTGGACCATGAACTTTTCTTGAACAACAAAGGGTTCTGAATATATCAGCTGCAGGCCTTGTCACAAGATTTTGTTGTCTAATAAGATGCTTAACGCTAATAAATGTAACTTTTACTTAGCGTTGGTATTTACATTATTAAAAGTTAAAGTGCGTCATTAGCATATTTTAAAGCATCACATCATAATTAAATTTAATTTTTAATTGTGTTAAAAATCATTTAAGCGTAACTTTTAAAAAAATTTATAACAAAAATTAATGATGAAATCTAAATTCTGTATTTGAAAAAGATTATATTTCCTTATAATTTATTTCTTAAAATAATCTTAGACATAACATAATCTTTCGTTTGCTTTATCACAATTTAGTTTTTTTTTTTAATGCTATTTTTTTTTTTTTTTAATGTAATTAATGAGCTATTTTTAATAAAGATTATAAACAATTTATAGATAGATTTTATCAGTACAATATTTATAAAAATATTTATGTTCATAAAACTTACACCATAAGAATTATATACACAGTATGGAATTTATTAGAAATGGAACTTATATACACGGTATGGAATTTAAAAATTTTAAAACCATTTGTGAAAAAATCAATTCGCTTAAACAATAACACTTCTCTTAGTTCTGCAATATTTAGAAAGTAAAAAATTTCATTCTAAATATTGCAGAACTATTTTACATTCTTTTGAAACTAAATTTTACATTCCCTCAAAACTAAATAAAAGTTTTTATTAAATTATAATTCAAAATTATATTTAATTATATATTTAATTATGTATAAAATTCTTTAAGTTAAAAAAGCAAAATTTTTTTGCACCCATCCCCTCTTTCCTCATCCCTGATGTGGCTTTGCGGTAAGAAGGAGTGCGTTATTATAATATAGTATCCTTTTGTACATTAGTTCGTACTGTACAAAATTGTTATTTTTTTAACATAGTATCTTAAATATTATCTTATAATTTTCTTGTTTGGCAGAGTTTAAAAAGTTACTTTTATATTTTACAGCTTAAGTTAAAATTTTAAGTTTAACTTGCAGTTATAATGTAATGAGCAAGTAATGTATTTAATACTATTACGATTTTACTTTTAGTAATTGTTTTTACTTAACATAATAAAAATACAAATATTGCAATATTTAAACCACTCTAATTAGTTATAGAAAACTATTTAATATATGTTCATGCTGATGATAAAACGTGTGTTAATTATAAAGAGTATTGAATTGTTATTGTAAAACAGCAATAAAACAATACTGAAAAGTTGTTTTGACAATATATAGAGCTTTATGTTAATGTATTCAACTGACACAATCTGACTCTTTATATTGTTTTAATAAAAGTTTTGTTAATCTAAAACAATGGCGTGACGCTGTTTTATACAGATTATAATGTTAACATTATAAAACATGTTTAAAATGAAAAGAAAGTAAATAAATAAAATTGTTCTAATTAATAAATTAAAACATTATTGTCATAAAATTTTAAACTTCATATTTACCCAAAAACATGCTATATTTATAGACCAAACAAGTAATATTAAAACCAAAAAACATTAGATGTACTTTTTAATTAGTGTACTATTAAAAATTTAAGTATTATTAATTTTTTCATTGAAATGGTTTTTGAGTTAACATTTCCATTTAATTTTTTCTTTCAAATTGTTTTGTAATAAAAAGAGTAAAAAAATTTGGTTCAATAAATCGAATTATATTTCCTTAAGAATATGCTTTAAACAAAAATTTCTTTGAACATAAATAAAATAATTAATTTTTTTAAATTTACTTTTTGTTGTAATGTTTGCAATAATCACTGGTTTAATATTAGTTATAATAATTATATTTTAATCTAGGTTTAACTTTCAGGTATGCTCTTCACTATGCCACTGGGTATTACTGATATCGATGCAATTAAATTTATAATTATTGAGCATTAAAGTTTATTTGAATTTTTTCAATTTTTTTTTCCTAATTTTAAATTTCAATTGCAAAATTATTTAAACAAAAGAATTTTAGAAGACTAAAATTATTTTGTTTAAATAGATTACTTTTTAAATAAACAACTTGCGTATTTAGAGTAAATGTTAAAATGTAATTTGATTTTTCTTCATATTTTGGTTTGTTTAGTTATAAAAAAGCATTTTTCATTTTTGAACGACTTTATATTTATATTTAAATCCTTTCATTTTTTAACTTCCAGCTTCTTAGTTTTTTGAATGTCATACCGGAAATTTGATTAATTAAATAATATAAAATGTTTAAACTTTATAAAAGTTGCAAAAAGTATTATTTGTTTTTAAAATACTAAAATATATTTTTTTTAGCTCTCAGTAGTGGGGATTATGAACGGTTCTGTGTTTTGTTTAACATGGCTGCACTTTTATCACAGCTAGCAAGCATACAAAACCTTTCTACAGATGATGGATTAAAAACAGCAGCAAAATATTATCAGCAATCAGCTGGGATGTTCTCATATTTAAAAGATAATGTTTTCCCAGCTCTTCATACACTACCAACACCAGACTTTTCTGTAAGCTGTTTGACTGCTCTTGTATCTATTATGCTTGCACAAGCTCAGGATTGTTTCTATCAAAAAGCCTCATCAGGTATCTTTAATTATTGTTATATATTATTTGATATGTGTTTAGTTATTTTTTCATTTTTATTTTTCATATTTTTGATTTGCAATCAATTTTTCATTTTATGTTTCTTTCTGTACTTTTACATTCTTTTCACATTCATTTGCTATCACACAGCCAATCATTTGCTATCTCATAGCCAATCATTAGTTGTTTCATAGCCAATTATTTGCTATGAAATCTCATAGCCGATCATTTGCTATCTTGCAGCCAATCATTTGCTCATAGCCATCTCAGCCAATAACTTTCAAGATAGCAAATGATTTGCTATGAGATAGCAAATTGTTTGCTATCTCATAGCAAATCATTTGCTATCTTATAGCCAATAATTTTCTAAATCACAGCAAATCATTTGCTATCTCATAGCTACTCATTTGCTAAATCACAGCAAATCATTTGTTATCTCAGCAAATCATTTGTTATCTCAGCAAATCATTTGTTATCTCATAGCCAATCATTTATAATTTTACATTATCATTGAATACATCTCTCAGCCGTTACACATTTGTACTTATTTTTTTATTATTGTACAGATAAAATGAAAGATGCTGTTGTTGCAAAAATTGCAATGCAAACCTCAGACTTTTATCAAGATGCCAATCGAAATGCAGCGCACTATGAAACAAAGGGACTGTGGGAAAAGGTGAAATCTGTTTAGGTATTGTAGAATTAACTGCCAGAAGTGTTGAAATAATAATCTAGTAAATTAGTAGTTTACAATATAAATTATTTTTAGGATTGGATTCCAGTTCTTCAAGCAAAGCAATCTTATTTTGCTGCAGCTGCTGAATTTCATCAATCAAAAGTTAATGAAGCTTCAAATAAATATGGTGAAAGAGTTGCACGTTTGCAGGTGTGACTGCGATTATTAAATTATTCTGATTATGCCATTTAGTTTTTACATATTATTTTATTATGTTATCTGTTATAGCAATTTATTTTACTTATAAATGTTTTATATATATGTGTGTGTGTGTGTTAGAGATGTGTCTCAAGACTTAAGTCTTGGTCTCAAGATATCTTGAGACTTATATTTAATTGTGTTGGTCTTGGTCTTGAAAATCTGGAGTATTTGTCTCAGCAATTCACTGTTTTGTACTTTCTTGATCCTTACAGAAAGTATCAACACAATGGATGGATTAGTAATTATTAATAAACAGTTAATCTTTTTTCTGAATATGAGACATACTTTAGGCTAAGACAAAAAACTTTCTCTATGACAGTATTGTTTCTTTATTTACCAAATATTTGATAATAAGAAATCTTTTTTAGAAAGCTGAAAAGTTAATAAATGATGGTATAAAAAATGCTGGCAACCTCAATATTCCTGACCTAAAGGTAATTATGTTTTAACATTAAGAATAAATAACAGTGGGTGTGTGCGCGTAAATGTGTGAAATGAATTTAATACTTTGATCTATTTTAATTGCATATGTCACTTTTAAATAGTTTTAAAAAGTTGAAGTGATTGCTTTCTTTTAAATTCATAAGCCCATCCCATTTTGATCCTCATGAACAAATTTTAATACACAGAGTTTTTAAGGGCATTTTCAAACAATCAGCGTGAACAGAAATTTACAAATCATTAACTATATAATAGCATCATTACAAGTAATGGAAGGTTTTTTATCTATACCGATTGTGTGCATTTTTATTACTATTATTTTTGTTTATTGTTGGTATTTTAAAAATGTACAAATTCGTTGTATTGAGGCCCAATACATAGCAATTTAAAATTAGTTAGATGCTTTTAATCTCATAGAGTTCACCCACTTCAAGCCCTGGCTATTTAAAAGGGGTTTGTACAAGATTCCTGGTCGACCATTATTCTCGTTAACCTCCTGCCATCATGTCAGAGAGCTTCATTGAGCCGTATCCATAAATAAAACTCTTAAGCTGGAAACTATTTATATCATAAAATCATAAAAGGGTTTTAAAAAGTAAAGAAAAGATAAAACTGCTTCTTGTAAAATTATTTATATTTAGACTTTTGAGAAGTGCAGAGATTATTATAAACTTGCAGGAAAAAATCAGACCATTAGGTGAAAATTAACAAATATAGAGCTGTTTTACATGCCTTGATTTTCATGAAATTCAAGTTTCATTTTTTCTAAAAATCAGGCAGGTTTTTATTCTCAAGTAATAAAGTACTCAAAGAGATCAATAGAATGGCTGGCTAAATTTCTCTCTCCAGGCAATAGCAGTTTTTGACCTGCGACTTTTCTGATTCTGCAGTTCTTCAAATAAAACTTAATTTCATAAGTTTTGATATTTCAGTCTTATTATTTAAGAATAGTTTGTGTCATAAAGTAACAAAATGTTTAAAAACAATTGTTTGCAAAATGGTTTAAAACCAGATGTAAAATACAAAGAAAGTAACTCTAAACCAATTTTTTTTTCTAATGACAGACTTTTCTTAAAACCCATATAAATTTAATAAAAATGAAATCAATAGAAATAGCACTTTGATTTTATCTTTTCAAAAATAAATGTAATTAGTATTTAGCAATATTGTTTTAAACCTTATTTTATCTACATTGCATTATTTTTATTTTACACTTTTAAGATCAACAAGACTATTGGCAGATGTATATTAAGCCTGCTGCAGAGGTGAAATTCAAATCATGGTAAAACCTTAGAGGTGTTTGGTGCTGCTGTTAGCATCTTTTGACTGAGATCACAATACAAAAATGGTAAAAAGCGGATAGAATCAAAGCTGAAATCCTTCTGAAAGCAGATTTTGTTAATAAAGTCTTGAGTTGTATATTTCACCAGACTACTGGTTAATTTTTGATATTCTAAGTCATAGTTTGAAAAAATGCCTACCGATGAGACTCCCTCAGACTTTTGGGTACAATCAATTCCAAAACTTTTAAAATCTTTCAAAGTTGCTAACAACTCATCAAAGCTCACAGCGAAATTGTAAATCTATTAAGCATAGTTTAAGAAATTTATTTCTCAAAACAAGAAATATATTTCTTGTTTTTAAAAATAAATTGCAGGGTAGGATATTTGTTTCTTAAAACAAGAAACGTATTTCTTGTTTTAAGAAAAATATTTTGTAATAAAAAAATTCAATTTTGCTGTGCTTACATTAAATTTTATTCAGATTTTACTGTAAGCAAAATTGATCCAATATCTAACTACAAACTCTGAACTTTAAAAGCACATTTAAAAATTATTTTTTTACATATTTTCTTAAGATATTTGTCTGAAGCTGAAAATTTATATGTATATAAATATTAATTGCCTGGTTGCAGCGTTTAAACGCAGAAACAAGAGATCTGTGGCAGTGACGGATCCAGCATTTTTTGGTGTTTGAGATAGCTAACATGAAGCAAAATCCAAACATTTTTATGTTTATACATGTCAAATAATGATGCTTTTTAAAAAGTTGCAATGATTGGAGGCTGGAAAAAAAAAAGCCCTAAAATTTTATCCCTCCTGCCCCAAACATGAAAGCAACAAGTTCATGAAATAATTTTTTTGCTATTCTTAATTAAATTTATGTTTATCGATAAATTTTAAGTATTGTTTTACTATCTCTAAGCGTTCAAAAATTATGACTTTATAAAAATTGTAACCCCCTCAAATTGAGGGTGGTTTAAACTTTGTATGGTTATAATTTATGAACTCTGAGAGATATTACTATGAAACTTAAAATTTATCAATGAATATAAACAAAGTTTATATTCATTGAAGTTCGAAAAAAATTTTTTACGAACTTGTTGCTCTCCCGTTTGGGGCAGGAGGGATGAAATTTTAGGGTTTTTTTAGTTTTCAGCCTTTAATCATTGCAATATTTTGCAAAGCATCATTATTTGACATAAGTATAAACATAAAAATGTTTCAAGTTTGCACCATGTCTGTTAGCTATCTCAAACACCAAAAAATGCTGGATCCTTCACTGATCTGTGGTTAGATGCCTATTCTAGGCTTTTTTTTTGACATGAAAGAAGCGTAAACTTTTATTAACATTTATAATTTAAAAATAAAAATTAAAATTAAAGAAGACAATACATGTAAACAATCATTTCAACATTTTAAAACTGTGTTTAAAACTGATGTACGCAATTAAAATTAAATCAAATTAAATTAAATCAAAGTATTAAATTCGTTCATTCAAATTTTAATTGCAAACAATTGCCATTCATTCTTGTTTTCTCTCTACTATATCACACAAAGAAAAGAAGCAATTTAAATATGAAAACTTAAAATTGTTCAGAATGAAACAAGTTGAATAATTGTAATTAAATATTTATAAAATATGAAAATATTCCTGATATGAATATAACTCAGCAAATAAAAAATTCATTTTATCTATATTTATGTTTCTAAAAAATATATATGTATACTATATTTCTATTTGTGTGTGTGTGTTTATATATATATATATATATATATATATATATATATATATATATATATATATATATATATATATATATATATATATATATATATATATATATGTATATATATATATATATATATATATATATATATATATATATATATATATATATATATATATATATATATATATAAATATATTATATATATATATATATATATTTATATATATATATGTATATATATATATATATATATGTATATATATATATATATATATATATATATATATATATATATATATATATACACACGTGATGTTCACATAGCAAATATTTTGACCACAACAATAAAGTATAAATGTGTTATACTTACTCATTTATTTAATTGTTGTTAATATCTATTGAGAAACCTTTTTTTAACTAGAAATGGTTAATCGACAGTGTAATTAAAAAAGATGGTTATGTTTACCAAAACCTTATATCCCAAAACTTCAGTAAAACTATTGTGTTTGTGCAAAGTGTTTATACTGATATTATAAGTGTTTGTTATGTCTTGTATGGACTTCATTGGCATATTTTTTTTTTGTAATTTAACTGTTCAGTTTGACATATCTTATTAGCAGGTGAACCATTTCAAGAGAAAAAAAATAGTAGAAATAGTGATATTTAAAACCTATCAAAAAGTTAAGGATATGATACCAATAAAATTGATATTGAGTGGATTAATTTTAAAAGTTATATTCCTAATTCAAAAACATTTGTTGTGTAGAAATTATTTGTTCAAATTTTTTGTTCATTTTAAAAGCCTTAAACTGTAAGCCTTAAAGTATTAACTTTATTTTTATTTCAAATAAAATTTGGTATATAATAATTCTTTTTATTTTAATTATTTGTAATTTCTTGCCAGTGGACACAAGATGTGTTTAAGACATATAAAACATGTATTAAAATGTGTTAATACATATTTTAGATGTATAAATCACATCATGTTTTCATTGGGTTGATGCCCTAATCTATTATTTAGTTTTATAACATTTATTTTTCAATACAAAATGTTGTCTTGATAACTAACCATCATGAGATAAAAAAAAATTAAATGAAACTTATGAATTTTTTTTTTCTACATTCTCATGTTCTATATTCAACTTTCATTTAAAATCTATCATTGTGTTTTTAATCAATAATGTTAATGTTGATAGAAATCAGTTCTTTTTATTACACAACATTAAACTAATTAGTGTACTACATTAAACCTTCTACATTCTATATTAAACCTTCATTTGAAGTCTATCATTTCATTTTTAATCAATAATGGTAATGTTGATAAAAACCAGTTTGTTTTATTATGCAACATTAAAATAATTAGTGTTAGTTAATTAAGTTACACAAAGCCACAGCTTTTAAACTCATCATCAGCTGAGTATATGTGTCTATACACAACTCGTATGTCAGCCACTTTTGTTTGGCATTTACGGTAAATGATGAGCTGTAGTAACTCTAATGACTGAAAACTGTCCAGTAGTTGTTTAAATTTATCAGCTGATGTTGCCTTTATGACATTATCTGGCAAAGCATTTCAGTCATTGACTACAAAGTTGTTAAAAAACTTATGTCTGACTTTGCAGTTCCTGACAATCTCGCCATGAAATCTGATTCAATCTTGAGATCTGGGTACTATGCTGCAAGATTTGAGATCTGGGTACTATGCTGCAAGGTTTGAGATCTGGGTACTATGCTGCAAGGTTTTATGTGCCAATCAATTAGGTTAAAATTGTTGAGAAAACAATCAATTAGGTTTATATTGTTGAAAAAGATCTTTTCTGTCTTTCTTCAAGAGTAGTTAATTTCATGATTTTACATTGAGTTTTGTACTCTAAGTTATGTAACACAAATTTTTGAAAATGTTTTTAGTTGTTTTTATTTCAATTATGAATTAAAGCACTTTTTGTTGATTTTCATGTCTATTTCATCTATCAATCAATCCAATAAAATAGAGAAAATACACTTAGGGTACTCATCTTGTTTTCCAAAAAATTTGTGATTGGAATGTTTTGACTTTATTCAACCTTAGTATTTTTACAGATAAAAACTCAATAACAATAAGTTTTTTATTTCTATTTTCTTTGTAGAACTTGGCTGGCCATATTTCTAAAAACCTTGTGCAAGCTAAAAAGGATAATGAATTTATTTACTTGGATAAGGTTCCAGCTCAAGATCAGCTAACACCTGTTGAACGTGCTACACTTGTTAAAGCACTTCCTATATCTTCACCAATGTCAACTAATTTCCAGGATTTGTTTACAAAACTTGTACCAATGTCTGTTCATCAAGCTCTCTCGACCTACAATGGTGCAAAAGGTGCTCTCATCAACAGTGAAGTTGGAAAACTGAGGGAAGCTACACACTTTATGAATGGGTATGCTTAATTAATTACAATATTAAAAAAATATTTAACTACTCTAATGACTTATTCGAAAAGTAACGGTCGAAAAGTTCGAAAAGTAACGGTCCACATATTTCAAATAGAGTTTATGCCATAATAATACATAAATGCTTATTTAGCTAGTATCTCACAATATTTACATATATCTTTTGTTTTTACGTGGCCCCTAAGCAGTGAGACCAAAGTTACATGTAAGGCAACACATAACAAAGCTAAGTGTGTCCTCAGGAGGCATATAGGTGATTGACTAAAATTCTGTTTTAGTAAAAAATAAAAAGTATTTTTATAAATTTAGAAAAATAAACTTTTTAGTTAGTAAATAGCGTGTATCTTTCTGCATCTATATAAAATATATATCTATATATCTGTATCTATATAAAAATATCAAAACCGCAAATAATTAGACCATTGCAGTGCCCATAATATTTTGAATCTTGCACTGATAACATTTTGTTTTAAATAGTTGAAATAGAAAGTAAACAAAGATAATATTTCGAATGTAAGCTTTTAGTTATTTAGATTTTTCTATGAGTATTTTTATTTTTCTTTGTTATTTATTCATGACTACAACTTTATTATTATTGTATAAGATGGAAAGATGTTGTCAAAAAAATAAACAAGAAATGTGCCAGAGCGGCCTAAACATTTTTGAATGTATGTCATTTTCCTTTGTAACTATAGCAACTGATAGATTTTTTCTGCATCATTTAAAATCCTGTTATTTAGTTTCTTTTCAGAATATATTTGTTATTTTGTTAAAAATATTTTTTTAATACAATTTTTTTGAGGGGTCTTATACTTTAACAATATTATAACAGTAATTTTTAATAGTTATAATTATTTGATTTTTGTAATTTTTTTTAATAAAGGGTGTTAGCTTCTTTAAATTTACCAGCAGCAATTGAAGATCTCTCAGGTGAAAAGGTTCCCCAATCAGTATTGGAAAAATCATCAGAAATAAAAGAAAAGGGTGGTTTGCAGATAATAGACCAGATGATTCAGAATCTCCCTGATCTTCTGGAAAGAAATCGAGAAGTTCTTAATGAGGTTAAAATAGTTAATTAAATCATAAAATCATAAAAAAAAAATTTTCACATAAATACTTGTTTTGAAATATTTTTTCTCCCTATAAATACTCACCACACATTGTGCATTAAAAATGTATGTATATATATATTTATGTATGTATATATATTATATGTATATGTATGTATGTATGTATTTATGTATGTATGTATGTATGTATGTATGTATGTATGTATGTATGTATGTATGTATAAAACATTAAATCTTATTTAATGATATCTTATATATCTATATATATAAAATGAGTGACAAAAAAAAATTGGTACTAGATTTAAAGAGACAAAACACAAATTTCCCCTAAAGTATACTGTAAAACAGAAAAATCTTTTAAAATTCTTCTATTCTTAAATTGTTCTAGTTTTAATACAATTAGTTATTTTTAATTAAGCTAATCCTCCTGACATTAAGCCATATTTTTGGCCAAAATATATATTACCTCAACATGTTACCTCGTACATGTTAAAAATACAGTTTAAAAATGTATAACTCGTTATACATTACCTGAAAAATACTTATCAATGTCTTTACTTAATGCGTTTGTTTAAATAAATTTCTTGATTTAAAAATTAAAAACTTAGGTTTTGTATTTATTTTTAGAGTAAATTTTACATCTCTAATATAAAATGACATTTCCATTGATACTAGGTTGATACTAGGTTGATTTAGCGTGAATTCATTGAATTAGTGTGTAACTGCTTACTGCTGGTCTGAATGTTTTAGAATTTATTTTTTCATTTAGTTTTTAGCTTTTTTTGTTACTATTGTAGTAATAAGTACATTTTTAGTACTTTTAGGTACTAAAATATTTTAGACACCATAAACTTAGGTATTCTCAATTTTAAAGTGATCAAAAGTAAACTTTTTACTAACATATCTGTAATTTAAATAGAATTCCAAGACACGATTTTTCTGTCAGGGTTTATTTCATTGTTATTTATTGTCAGGGTTAATTTCTTCAAATATTTTAAGTAATTTTTTTTTTAAATAACTATAAATACATAAAATATTTAAAATCTAGAATAAAAATACATTCAAAACTATTTTTTAATTTTGTTTTAACCTATGTTTTAAGAAAGTTTTCTCTTTAAATCCAGTCTCATTTTTCAGTTGTTATCCTCTTGTATAATTCAAGTTATTGTCTGTTATAGAATTATATTTCAGTTGTCACCTGTTATAACATTTAACTAAATTTATTTTATTAAAGTTAAATATATTTAAAAGTTTGCTATTCAAGTCTAAATTTAAAATATTTTGGTGAAAAGTGCTTTTTATCAAAAGTTTAATGTTAGTTGTTAATTATCAAACACAAAAAATTGTATTTGCTGTTATTTAAATTGAAACATAGAAAAACTTAAAAATCAAAATTAAATTTTTTTAAATTTTTTTATTTTATTTTAATTCACCTCCTTAAGGCTGAGAAGGCCACTACAGACGAGGAGGCTACTTATTTGTGGCTATAACCATCTCTCAACTCTCTAACTCCGAAACACGAACTTTGACGAACAAGGCCGCTGCGCGGAGAAATGAGTTGAGCGCGGTACTACCAGGGACGTGGTGGGGATCGAACTCAGAACCACTCGTTTATGAAGCGAGCGCTCTACCACTACACCACTACCGCATAGTTTATTTAAAATTTAATACTGAGTTTATTTACATTTTAACACTGATTAAAATTGTCATGATTAGTTTAATTGTATTTTATTAGTTACTGGATATTGGTGAAGTTCTTTTTTTTAAAAAAAGTCTAAAATAAAAACAAAAAGTATTAATTTTAATAATTTAATTAAAAAATCATATATATTTTATCATTATATGTTATTTAACATGAGTTAACTCTTTCTCTCACTTTCTCTCTCTCTCTCTCTAATGAAAACTAATATGAAAACTCATTTTATGAATACCAAAATAACTAATCTTTTCTCTCTTTTTCTCTCTCTGTTTCTGTAAAAATATATAAATGCTGTAAAAATATATAGATATATAAATTCTTGATAATTATGCTTCTATTTTTTTTAATTTTTCAGGCATTTCGCATGATGTCAGAAGAAGAGCAAGAAGACCAGAAAATGCGTGAATATTTTAAAGAAAGATGGACTCGTACACCATCTGCAAAATTAACTCAGCAGTTAAAAGAGGAAGGAGCTAAGTACAAAAGTATCTTAGATAATGCTACAAATGCTGATAACATAGTAAAAGCAAAGTACAATGAACACCGCAGAGGGTTGGATATACTTTCAAAATCAAATGTATGTTTATTTTATCTTTTTTTTTAATAATGTTATCAATAAAACCTTCTGAAATCCACTTAAGCATTTGCAAAATTTATATACATTGCTTAGTATTCTGCTGTAAATGGTGATATGACCATTTTAAATTTTATTTTGCTGGCTTTTAGATATATATATATATCTACTATAGCATATTTATATGCGCAATTGCTCACTTTTTTTGCTAGCCTAATTTAAGTGAGCGTTTTTAGAAAACGATGAGGGAAAACGAAGAATAATGAATGAAAAGGTTGCTGACCCATACCAAACCCTCAGTCGATGTAGCAGCACTCCACGGCGAGTCAGGCTATTTGTCAGTTGATGTATGTACTGAAGCCCCCGGCAGCAGGCTATTTGACATTAGGTGAATATGACATCATCATGCTCACCTAACTCAGCAGTATAAGATATATATCTAATATATATATCTAATATATATATCTAATATATATATATATATATATATATATATATATATATATATATATATATATATATATATATATATATATATATATGTGTGTGTGTGTATATATATATATATATATATCTATATATATATATATATATATATATATATATATATATATATATATATATATATATATATATATATATATATATATATATATATACAGATAAAGTTAATAAAAATTATATAACATTTACCATAAACATGTTGTTTATAAGGTATTTTACACTTTTGTGGTTTGACAACTCTTTTAATTCCCATTGAGGGTTTTATACCAGTTAATAGTTTTTTATCTCTTAGGTAAGTTGTTTTCACCATAGCCTCACCAGCCTCTTATGCATATTAAATTAAAATATTTTTCAATAAATGCTTCATATTACATCATAATATTTTATATGTGGACTAAAAGAAATATTTTGTATATTTAAATATATTAAATACATGGAATTAGCAATTTTTTAGGTTATGCCATTTTTCTAATTTAGTCTAACTCAAGAAGAAGTTATATATTTGATATTACGATAAAATAAATAAAAATGACGGTCACATTAAAAAAAAAACGCTGCATGGATTTACATTATATATTTCTTATCAAATGAATAAACAAGATAAATATTTATGTTATTATTTGATTTTGATGTTAATGTAGTTTTGAGTTGTTATGTTATTGATAAAGTTTTTCATTACTTAAAAAGGAAGAAATTGCTAATTCTCTTCCAAAAGTTGGGGCAACTACATCAAGCAGCGGCATGGAAGCCGTCAAAGAACTACGATTTCATATGCAACAGGTGGAACAAATAAAGAGAGCCCGTGAAGAATTGGAAGAAGAATTTAAAAGTGCCACTGTTGATATTCAAAGCAAATTTTTACAAGCTTTAGCCGCTGAAGGTTATCTTGATTGCCAAAAAATAGTTGATCAGAATATAGAAGATGTTTATGCTGGTTTGAGAACTCAAGTTGAAAAAAGTATAGAAGACCAAAAAGTGCTCTTAGATAAAATACAGGTGCATTTAAGTTTATGTATTTAAAAAACTTGCTAATGCGTTTATGTTTAATTCATTTATATCAAGCAACATTTTTATAGGCAGCTTATAATAATTTTGCTGCAGCTTCAAGCGGAACTGGTGCTAATCCACGTGATCAAATGCTTAAAGACTTAGCAAGTGCATATGATGCTTATATGGAGTTAACAAGTAATCTTCAAGAAGGATCAAAGGTTGTTTTATGTTTTAAAATGTTTTTATTTTTTTATTTTTAAGCTGTTAATAATGTAATTGGTATTATTTTTTTATTATATGCATTGTATTATTGTGTATTTTTTCATTATATTTCCTTATATACATGTCTAGGATTTTATTTTTTCAGTTCTATAACAATTTGACAGAGCTTCTGTTGAAGTTCCAGAATAAAGTTGGAGATCTTGTTTTTGCTCGAAAGACTGAAAAAGAAGATCTCACCAAGTAAGTAACCAATACATACACTCCCCAAATATTTTTTGCATTCCTTTACAACTATTTTTTTTTTTGCATTCCTTTACAACTATTTTTCTAATGGAGTAAATAGAGTTAATCGATTTCTTTTTTCTCTCCCTATTGTTAAATTATTATTTTCTTTTATTAAAAATGTTATTTTCAATTTAAAGAGATCTCCAGCTAGAAGCAGCAAAGGGTACAACGGCTCCAACTCCTAGCATACCTGTACATTATCAACAACAGCCAGTTAAGCCAGATAGACCACCTCCTCCTAACACTCAGCCAACCCCTGCGCCTCGTGCTTCACCACAAAATCAACCTTCTAGCAATCCTCCACAGCAACCGCAATATAATCCGTATCCTACTCAACCAACGCTTATGCCTCAACCTGGTTATTATGGGCCTCCTGGTGCAATGCCATATCCATCTTTTCCGTTTCATCCGAATTATGGGGAGTATCATATAAATCAGAGTCAAGTAATGCCTGGACAATACATTCCTCCGTATAACCCACAGCCACCTATGGGATACCAGGGTTACCAGTGGCAACAAAGACCGTCTCAACAATAAAATGTTCTTAAAAGATTTAAATAATTAAAAAAAAATTATCCTTAGTATGGCGGATAAAAATTTCCCCCACAATGATTCTATCACGATTCTACTTCAACTTATCTTTTTTTTTTTTTTAAAAAAAAAATAATTAGAACGAAGATTCCTTTAATTATAATAATTTTAATTAGAACGAACATTCGATTTTTTCAATTATAGATTTTATGTTTATTTTATTCAGTTTTTGTGGTCTGATGGGATTGCTTTTTTTTTTTCTAAAAAAAAATAGGTTTGTATTTTATGTGAAAAGTAATTTGATAACGTGTTCTTTTGTTTAATATGAATTTTTAGCTCAAAATTCGGCTTTAGTTGTGATTTTTTTATTGCTTTTGTATTAAAATGTCTTTGACAACATAAAATATACTAAATTAATATTATTTACTTACTTTGTGTTCGACGCTAAAGAGTTGGGAGTTGTTGATAGAAATTTTAATGATCAGAGTTTGAGCTCAACCATCGTCAATAGCAACCAATATTTAGATCTTATTACGCAATTCTTTTTTTAATGTTTCCTTTTCCAAAGGTATATTTTTCAAAACTTAAGAATTTTCTTTTTTAAATATGTTTGTTTTTTTTTCACTCTGGCGTGATCAAATTTAAAATAAACTTATCAACAACGTCTTTTAACAATTTTGAGTTGTCTGACTTTCTAGGTGAGGGGGATAAAAGTTTATAATAAAGTGTTTTGTTTGATGTTTATATTATATAATAATAAGGAATGTAAATAATTAAAAGTTGTTGCAAGTATATGTGAGTCTATTTTTAATTTTTTGAAACGACTCTAGAGAAAGATATTGGTTTACTTCAAATTTGCTCAATTTTGGACCTAGCACCTTAAAAAGATATTGTTTTACAGTATATTACCCAGGGCTGCGGAGTCTCAGAGTTGCGACATTTTTAGCGGAATCGGAGTCGCCCATACAAAATTGCGACTCCGACTCCAATATTTTCGGCAGGGACTACTAAAACAACTATTATTATTTTAGTAGTCCCTGCTTTTCGGTATTGCTCGTGTATATACAAAATATTTAATAAACCTTATATTCACGCTAAACCTCAAAGAACTTTTCATAAATTTGGCAAAAATAAATTTTTTAACTTATCGCGTAATATTTTTTAAAGAATTCAAAGAATTTTTCAAAAATCTTGCTTCGGAGTCGTACTCTGAAAATTTTATCAATCGGAGTCGGTACTTTTTTTTTACGACTCCACACCCTTGATATTAATAACAAATGTAAAATTAGGTTAAACGGGGTTGATCTTAAACTATAATTTTTTATGTTTACATTACGTGATCAAAATCTTTGTGGTATATTACGTGAAGTAATCCAAATCTTTATGGGCTTTTATATAATCTCCGTTACTTCAAAAAAGCTGAAATTACAGTTACCTGTTATTAAAGGTATGCACCTGTTTTTAATAGCTGTTAAAATAGCTTTTAATAGGTTTTCACTACCGTAGAACCTATTTATTATCTTTGTATTTCTTTGCAACAAAATGCTTTTAACCTCTCATTTACAATTAAAGCAGTTGTACGAAAGTATTTCAAAAGTTTGCAGCAAAAAGTGAAGGTCATTTAAGAAATTGCTCTCAATAGCTTATATTTTTTTAGGAACAAATTAAATTTTTAGAAACCGAAGTAAAAACTTGCTCTATATTTTAGTCGAGCATCTGGCATGCATAACGGATATAACAAGATTCTAAAAAAAAAATAACTGGCGTATCAATAGCAAATTAAGGTGGCTTCACGGGAAATGTTTTTTTTTTTTTCAGTAAGATAACTTAAATCAATTCTAAAATCAGTTTTATTAATTTTAATTTAATGAAAATAATAATAACATATGAAGGTTTATTAAAAGAAAAAAAAAAAGGAGGACTTTATTGATAGAAAACGTACCAAAAAGCATATTTTTTTTTATTTTTCAAAACACAATTATTCCAGAATGACTTACTAAAACAACTCAATACTTTGCAATATTATTTTCTGATATATGAGGTAGGAGATAAACACTTATGATTTATTTATCGAGTCACAAGATACACCAAAAAAGATCTTTAGTTTCGAATGAAAACTTTTCCTAAATTAAAATTCGGTACTTTACAATAATATTTTCTGTTATATGAGGTAGAGGATGAGCTAAGATCATTATATAAAAACAAAAATATTTTGTTTAAGTCCCAAAAAACTGAAAATTGACTAGTTTCTAGGGAAAAGGTTCAAAAAAGATTTAGCAATCGATATTCATTCAATAATCAAGATTCTAGTTCAATCCCTACATATATATGTATTGAACAATTGGAGAAAATTTGGAGATCTAAGCATTTTTTAATGCTGCGATATCGTGTTTTGAGTTTATAAATTATGTTAAAATCTTCACTTTCAGATATAAGGCAAATAAGTAAAAAAAAATTTTAAATATCCTTTTTTTTATATTGATATTTTTGGATAATTGTTCTTGATCTTTATCAATCCAACCTTTCCTAATTCTTCTAAACTCTTTTCTTTTTTTGTGGTTGTCCTTTTTTTACCATATTTTACCTGCTGAGTTTACTACCATTTCTGTTTATATTTTAAGGATATCGGGACCAGATGGTATTATTTATTCCTTTATTACAATTTTAAGTTTGCCCATGAAGACATTTTTTCAATAAATTGTTGTTACTCAATTCATTAAAGCCTTTTTTGATAATTTCATAAATCCATTCAGGCAAGTTAGGAGAATTGTTTTCATCTGCATCTGCATTTTTACTTTTTTTTTGAAGTATTGTTACCTTGAGTTATGAGTTATGTTATAATTGTATTTTTGTTTTATTATTGTTTAATTTATTTTGTTTTATTACAATTTTATTATTAAGTACTTATTGAGTTATCTTGATATCTTGTGTTATCATATAGTATTCTTATAATTACCCATATATACCCATTATATATTTAATTTATTTACCTAAAAAATATATATCAAAGAAACATTGTACCAACACAACTTGTGTTAGTATAATGATTTGTCACGTAAATAAGTAATCAAATGATCGCTAAATGATGCAATTTCAATAAGTAAAACGATTTTATTTTTGAAACTGAACATAGTTAGCCACTTTAGAAAACTGGAAAGCTATTACTAGAAAACTGGAAAGCCATTACTAGAAAACTGGAAAAGAAATTAAAAATCAAGCACAAACTACCTTTTTTTTAAATAGATTATGTATTTGTTCATTAGAAGCTGCCAGAAGTTTAATGTCGTGGCGCGCTTGATCACCAAATATTAATCAAAATAAACGTGTTTGAGCTTGGAAGAGTAAATAACTAATCATAATTACTACACTACAAATTGCTTAAAGCAAGAACTAGACAACCTTAGTCTAAAAATTATGTCTCAAAATCTCACCTGCTTTAAAAACGATAAAATTTATGCTTTGAAAAGCAAAAGATCGATGTGCATACAAGCTATTGACTTATAGTTTTTGAAAACGGTTTATATACCTATATACTCTCAATGAATTAAAAGACTTCAATGGGTGGTCTTGCTTAAATGAAGATATCTTTAATAGAAAATAACTTTCGACAGAAAAAATAACTACTGTTAGAATCGGTAGCTATTGAATAAATTGAATTTTTCAATTTTGGTTGGTCTCTGGTAGTTGTTTAATATTTGAAATTTGTTTCTTTGTGAACCCTGAATTTAAATATCTTACTTAATTTAGCTATAAAAAAGTAGATTTATGATTTAAATTAAATTATACCTTTAAAAATATCTTTTAAAAAAAAAATAAGTGCCGCCGAGAGAAGGAAGGAGGCAAAAGAGACAGTTTGTCCTTTTTTGCCGGGCGGCAGATATCCAAGGGGCGCCAAATGTTAACTTTTTATTAATGTACTATCTGTTATAATATTTATAATACCATTTCTATAATAAATTTTTATTATTATGTATAATTTAATATTACACATATATAGTATAATAGTCCGCTATTTTTTATGATACAATTTATGAAAAATCGCACACAGTGGTTACTTATAATTCAACATCTAAGTTGTAGAAACATTTTTGGACGTTTCGTGGTTCTATAAATTTCTATATGATTTTCGTGGTTCTATATGATTTCTATAAATTTACAAATATTCTAAATTAATTGCTATTAAAATGTCTAATAGTTAATATTTTCTATAAACATGTTAAGAGGTTTTTAAATGATATTTTTATAGGATATTTGTGGATTGTTATGTAATATAAAATTATATGTAATTTGTAAAGTGCAGAGTTTGAATTGAAGTGATAGAAGAGTTTGATTCAGAGTCGAAATAAAATAAAACAATCATTTGATCACATGACTGAACATAATAATGTTGGTTATAAAAAATGTTGTTTATTTTCTGAAGGTTTATGAGAGGAACATTTAAGATCAAGACGAACTGGGTTATTTAAATGCGACAAGTTAACACAAGTGTTTGTTTTACCAAAAAACATGTAATTGAGTCGCGTATACATGTAGAATTAAGTCATAAACAACTTATATGTGCTTTTCACAAACAGAATGGCAGACACTGATATGTACCAAAGCAATGCTTACATCCATCCCATAAAGCTTCTCCGACAAATAAGGGAACAGAAAAACAAAAAGATCTCCGAAAAGCAATAAGAGACCAGTATGAAAATATTAATAATTATTTTCCTGGTTCTTTTCCAGTATCTGGTCAGCTGTGCAGAATTTACAGAGACAGCATGTTTCAAATCATGACCAAATAGAGAATGATCCTACTTACACACTTGATTTAGTGTCTCGAGAAACCTCTTATTCTTTAGAAAATGTTAATGAGTTCTTAGCGACAAGCGCTCCAAGAGTAAGCCCTGTAAAATGACATATTAGAAACAAATTTCAATGAGGCATCAGCTTCTACAATCAACTGCCATAAAAGAAAGTTTCATAAAGCTGTAGATAACTTCAAAAAAATTTATTCTGTAAAAGCAGCACCAGGATAAAGAGGCTAATTTTTGGAGATTATGGAAGACTCAACGCAACCATTATCAGTTATTTTTTCAAAGTTTTACAGGTTTCAATGTAGCAATTTCATGCAGGTT